TTTTGTGTCTGGCTTAGTTCACTTAGCTGAATATTTTAAATTTCATTTATGTTGTAGCATGTATCAGAATACCATTTCTTTATATTCTACAATTCCACAATCCAAAAATATGGATATCTGCCTGCAACCCAGGAGACCTGGGTTCAATTCCTGGGTGGGAAAGATGTGTTGGAAAAGGGATAGGCTACCCACTCCAGTATTCTTGGGCTTCCCTTGTTTCTCAGCTGATAAAGAAACTGCCTGCAATGTGGGAGACCTGGGTTCAATCACTGAGTTGGGAAGATCCCCTGGAGAAGGGAAAGGCTACCCACTCTAGTATTCTGGCCTGGAGAATTCCATGGACTGTATAGTCCATGGGGTCACAAAGAGTCAGATATGACTGAGCAAATTTTACTTTCACTATATGGATATATCACTTTGATTATCCATTTATTTTTCAATGGATATTTGGGGTTTTTTTTCCACATTTTTGACTATGATGAATAGTCCAGCTATTGTCAGGAAACTTTCTAGCCATGTAAGAACAAAACAAAGATTTTCTACTGAAATTAGGATGAATATGACAATAAAAAATATTAGCTAGTTTATGAACACTCACTTAACAAATATTACTGAACACCTACTCTGTAGCAGACATTCTGCTAGGGGGACAGTGCTGAATGAAAAGAGCTTTTCGATTAATGTACAAAGTACAAGGGTGCCTAGAAATAAGGGGACAAAGACGGGGAGCTGGCCACGCAGACCTGACAGCCTCCTCAGGTACAATACCGAAGGCAGTTTGCAGAGATGCTATGATGGCCTGGCCCCGGGACCCCAGGGAGACTAACCCTGACATCCTCTGCTCTGTTCTCTGCTTTGCCATCATATGCTAATCTGGTTAATCCAGGCACCCGAACAACTGTCTCCACGGCCCCACTGTGGATAAGGGCCATGGGACAGCAGGACAGGGCTGTGGAGAGGCAGTCAGGCAGGAAGGGGTGAATATTGTGTCTGGTGAAGTTTCCTGGCAAATACAGCTCCACCTGGGTTCCCAAAACTGTCTTCACATTCATCAGAAACATGTGCACCTTTAGCTGACTTGTCATTTTACTGACATCTAGGCTGCAACATGACTATCTAACACTGCATGAACATTACACAGTTTAGAGATGCATCAGCTTTTGGAATAAGCTATATGTGAACATGAGATTGGATTTGAAATTCATTTGCATTGTAACAGGAAATCTCAACACTGTTTCTCAAAGGGAGAAAAGGAAGGACAGCTTTAACATCATTTCTTTAACTTTAATGTCAGACCCTTTAAGTATTTGAAAGAGGCAAAAATTAAATTTCAAATTATTATTATGGATAAAATTGATAGGGCTTCTCTGGTGGCTCAGGTGGTAAAGAATCTGCCTGCAACGCAGGAGACCCGGGTTCGATGCTTGGGTCGGGAAGATTCCCTGGAGAAGGAAATGGCAAACCACTCTAGTATTCTCTCCTGGGAAATCCCATGAACAGAGGAGCCTGGCAGGCTACATTCCATGGGATCACAAAGAGTCTGACATGACAGCAAATAAACAACACCAACAAATGAAATAGATAACTAATGAGAACTGACTGCACAGCCCAGGAAACTCTATCACATGCCCTGTGGGAAATAAATGGGAGGAAAATCCAAAAGAGAGGAGATGATATGCATATAGAGAGCTGACTCACTCTGCTGTGTAGCAGAAACCAGCACAACAGTGAAAAGCAACTATACTCCAATTAAAATATTAAATTAAAAAAATCTTCTTAAATTTAAAACTCTAGTCTTTAGAAATTTTTCATAGTCATTTCAACTGAAAAGGCTGAGGTAAACTGTTGGAAGCCAACTCAAATTTTCCATTCAAAAATTTGGGAAAAAAAATTATTTACATTTTTTTACAAATTCAAATCACCTTTCTTATCACTTTGAATTGTATTTCCTTCATTAAAATATGATATTTGAAAATAATATAATATCCTTCCCAGTGTCTTCAGTATACTGAACAATTAACATGTTTCTTTATTTTACCATGACATGAAATCTATTCAGCTCGATGATGACTAATTTTATGTGTCAATTTGGTTGGGTCACAATGCCAATCTGTGGTCAAACATTATTCTAGATGGTCCTGTGCAGGTGTTTTGGGATTCACTCAAATCAGTGAATTTTGAATCAGATTGCCCTCCAGCATGTGGGTGGGCCTCATCTAATCAGTTGAAGGTCTGATTAGAATAGAACACTGATCTTTCCTGAACAAGAGAGAATCCTGTGGCAGACTCCTTTCAGACTTGAAATTCCATCATTGGTTTTTCCTGTGTCTTCAGCCTGATGGTTGGACTTGAACTATAACATCAACTCTTTCCTGAAACTCCACCCTGCAGAATTTGTACTTGTCAGCCTCCATAATATCATGAGTTGATTACTTAAAATAAATGTCATTCTACTTATACACACACATCTTATTGGTTCTGTTTCTCCAGAGAACCCTGACTAATACAAACACAAATGATAATAGCAAACAACTAGTGCTCCTTATGTAACAAGACACTATTCCAGTCTCTTCACAAAAATTAACTGTAACTACTATTATTATCATTTTCACTGTATATACATGGTTACAGAAGCTCAGAGATATTAGGGAACTTGCCACACAGCTATTGAGTATAAAGGTAAGAATATAAACCCAACATTCTGTTTTAATGTGTATGATCTTAATTAATATGTACTAATAATATACTTCTTCTCTAAATCTGAATAAGAATAGCATTTTTCAAGCTTCAATTTAGTTCTATTAATGGGAGTAAAATCACTGTGGATGGAGACTGCAGCCATTAAATTAAAAGAGGCTTTGCTCCTTGGAAGAAAAGCTATGACAAACCATATTAAAAAGCAGAAACATCACTTTGCCTGCAAATGTCCATATAGTCAAAGCTATGGTTTCTCCAGTAGTCATGTACAGGTGTGAGAGTTGGACCATAAAGTAGGCTGAGCACTGAAGAATTGATGCTTTTGAACTGTGATGCTGGAGAAGAGTCTTGAGAGTCCCTTGGACTGCAAGGAGATTAAACCAGTCAATCCTAAAGGAGATCAACCCCAAATATTCATTGGAAGGACTGATTCTGAAGCTGAAACTCCAATACTTTGGCCACCTGATACGAAGAACTGACTTATTAGAAAAGAAAAGACCCTGATGCTGGGAAAGATTGAGGGCAGGGGGACAAGGAGGTGACAGAGGATGAGATGGTTGGATGGCATCACTGACTCAATGGACATGAATTTGAGCAAACTCCAGGAGATAGTGAAGGACAGGGAAGCCTAGTGTGCTGCAGTCCATGGGGTCGCAGAGTCAGACACGACTTAGTGACTGAGAAACAATGGGAATACTAATAAAATTGGTTTGGTAGGACAGAATAGAATAGAATTGTTTAAAGCAATAGACTAAAATAAAGCAGGAATAAAGTTTCACATATTTGGTCAAATCTATCAGGTTTTCTCTAGTTATTTTAAGCTTAAAAAATGCACCACTACCCCCATGTATCTTTACTGGTATTATGTTAAGCCAAACCCCCACAAAATATCTGGTAAATATATGTACCACATCTTCTTTATTCATTCATCTATTTATGGACAATTAGTTTGCTTCCATATCTAGGCTATGTAAATAACACTTATATGAACATTAGGGCACAAATGTCTTTTCAAATAAGTGTTTTTGTTTTCTTAGAATAGATACCCATGTGTGGAATTGCCAGATTGTATGTAGTCGCATTTTTAATCTTTTGAGGAACCTCTATATTATTTTTCCTAGTGGTTGCTTTAATTTACATCCCTACTCACATGCACAAAGGGTTCCCTTTCCTTCACAGTTCACCAACACTTATTATTTTTTGTCTTTTTAAATTTGCCATTTGAACAGGTGTGAGGTGATACCTCACTAGGTTTTACTCAACCATAAAAAAATGAAAATTTGCCATTTGTAACAACGTGAATGGTGGACCTGGAGGGTATGATGCTTAGTGAGATAAATTAGATAGAAAAAAGACAAATACTGTACATTTTCTCACACACACACGCATATATACATACACACACATATATATGTATATATATATAAATATATATGATTTTACTCCATTCCATCAGAAGGTCTTTCAAGCTTGAAATGCATTAGAGATAAGACCAAGGGCCTGTGTTACTATAAACAGGCTCTGTGGACCACTCCATTTGTCAAGAGTTGAACACAAATAGATCTTTAGTTCCTGAGATACACATAGCTCCTTGTATAAAGTCCATTCCCAAAACTGGTGCGTACAGCCAGGGATTTCATTCCATTTATGAGGTTGAACATAAAACCCCACATCATTTCTTGTACTGACTCCTATTGATGGGAGCTAAATGTGCAAACAACAGCATTTTAAAAGTCCAATTCCAAGCAGTCCACAGAAAAAGAAAATATATATGCAGAGTGTTTTTTTAAAATAGTAGCTGATATTAAATAATAAACTTTTTCTGAAAATGATTGGACTATGAGGTGGCGGAAAGGGACCAAATTAAATGGGCTGTGGGTTTGAACTATAACTTTGGCTTAGTATACAGAAAAGATCACATACAAGGCTTAACGAATCCACATTGATTGACAAGATGAATGAATAATTGGATGGATGAATGGATAAAGGGGTACCACTGCGTTCCCAAATACTTGCTAGAGGCCTGGAACCTTAGGAATCCACACAGTCTATCCTTTTAGCTTTCTCCTCCAACTTCCTTTCCAGATAAGAATTTATGTCCTAGAAAACGTCCTCTTCAACACGGCCCTGCGGATAACATCTTTGACCTCCTTATCCCTCAAGCTATAGGTAAGTGGGTTCAACATGGGGATGACTGCAGTGTAAACCACGGACACCACTTTGTCAGGACCCAGGGGGACGCAGGCACTAGGCCACACATAAATAAAGAGAAGAGGGTCTTACAGGATAGACACGGCTCTCGGATGTGCAGAGCAGGTAGACGAGGCTTCGTGTCTCCCATCAGCAGAGCGGATCTTCAGGATGGCGATGAGGCTGTCAGGCAGGAGTCCAGGACAGGCAGGCCACTGAAGATGCCCGCAGCTCCAGCCACGATAAAAGCCACCCACTTGCTGAGACTGGTGTCGGCACGCACAAGGGAAAGCAGAGGGCGCAAGTCACAAAGGAAGCGAGGGATGACATTAGGGCTGCAGAAAGGAAGGCGAAAAGCATCGTGTGTGAGTCATGGGATTCACGGGCCCGATGACATAGGGACTCACCACCAGCTGGACTCAGTCTCTGGGACACGGCGACGGAATACAGCAGGGCGTTACAGATGCCGACACAGTGGTCATAGGCCACGGACGCCAGAGGAAACCCTCCGCTGCCGTGAAGAACCCAAAGCACCCCTGTTGCCAAGCACAACCCCGGAAAGAGATGGCTTTCCTGCTCACAAAGAAGTCGGAGAGTATCCTGGGGCTCACGACATGTCCACGAAAGACAAGTGACTGGGGAAAAAGTACATGGGCCCACGAAGGCGGGAATCCATCTGTGTCAGAATAATCATACCCAATTTCCTGTTAGTTTGATGAGGTAGAAACGCAGAAAGAGCAGGAAAAGGCAGGCCTGCAATTGAGGACTGAAATTCAAACCCGTGAAAAGGAACTCTGTGACCCTCGTGTCGCTTTCATTAGCCAGGGACAGACTCTGGATTCCCCTGGAGAAGAGCAGAGAAATTTGGTAAACACATCTCCAAAAAGGGGACACAGAAAAAATAAACTAGTCCCTAGGAGAGCATACGACTTCTAGTTGCATGCTGTGGCTAAGGAAACCGAAGTGAAATAGAGACCAGGGCAAACGATCAGATTTGAACCTATAATATTGCAAGGCTCCATAGGACTCCATCAGTATATGGGTGAGAAATCCACAGCCTAGAAATTCAAAGTCCCATAACCGATTGCAGAGAAAATTCCAGAATAAGTATCCAGTAGTTCCGACTTCAGTGAACTTGTCCTGAGTTCACCAGGTGGGTGCACATCGGTGAAGGGATGTAGGAGAGTGAAATGAATCAAGCAGAGGAGAATGAGCAGTGGGTCAGTCTCAGGCCACTGCTGTGCACTTTGGGATTGCAGCTCAAGCCTGAGTGCATCTGCTGTAAGTGCCCGGGCCCTAGGAAAGCTACATTCTTCACCTGTGAAGTAGGAGCAATGATAGTAATACCTACCTTGTAAACTGCTGTGAGGATTAAAGGAGTTAATGCATGCAAACATTTAACAGAGTCTTATTGAGCTCCTAGTAAGTACACACTAATTATTGGCATTTTTGCCTTACATATTGTCTTTAACAAGCCTGCAAGCTAAACATCATTATTTCCTTTTACATAGGAGGAAAATAAAAGTTTAATCCATGTTCCCTCTACTAGTGACTGGCAGAAGTGGGCTTTGAGTAATTACCCGTCAAAACAGACTGTACTCTTTTTTCACACTGTTACAGTGTTTCCTGGGTCTTCATAAACCTTCATAAATCTCTTCATCTTCAAGAGATTAAACGTTGTGCATTGCAATAGGAATACAGAATAATGCATTTTGTCTTCCTATTTTTTTGAGGTTACAGCCAATGGTCATTAGTGGGAGACCCATAGGATAATAGAATGCTGAGTTTAAGCATCACTTTATGGAAACAGTACACGGAAGAAACTATGAAAAGAGCCTAAATCAGCCCAACTCTATATCCTCTATGTATTCTCTTTTCATGCACTATAAGAGTGGCCTTGGTTAAGTCAGCTGATCTCCTTGAACCTGAGTTGCCTCATTCAGCGTGGCTGAAACCCTGTAACTTGATCTCTCAGAACTCTTACTAACTTAGAATGAGAGGGTTGATGTGTAAGTGCTCAGAAAACTACTCATACTGTAAATTTTTATTAGCCCAGGAATATTGGAGTTCAGCATCACACGTATGCTAAGCACTTCTCCTTCACTTTTTTATTTTGAAATTTATTATTCAACTTTAGCAAGGCTATATCTCTGAGACCCAATAATACAGCTTGCATGATATTCTTCACTTCAGGGAAATTAAAGAGAAAGATAGGATGGGCTGTCAAACCACCCACCCGTCACACCCACCGCTTGTTTAAACCTTCTCCAGGATCACTCAGGTATCTCATCTCAGTCTTCCACTTGCCCTTTGCCGAAAGCTCATCAACTCCTCTCCTAAGTCTTGGTTTCTAAACTTGCTCAAGCCTTTTTTACTTACGCGTTTAATTTTGGCCGTGCTGGGACTTCACAGCTGAGCAGATCTCGCCCTGGGCGCGGGAGCGGAGGCGCCCCTCTAGTTGCAGCGCTCGGGCTTTTCACCGCGGTCCTTCTGGTATGGAGCTCAGGCCGGAGGGTGCTCGGGCCTCAGTAGCTGCAGCCCTTGGGCCCGGCGGTTGCAGTGTGCGGACTCCAGCACCGGCTCAATAGTTGCGGGACACCCGCTAGGCTGATCCACAGCTTGTTCGATCTTCCCAGGTCAGAGCTCAAACCCGTGTCTCCTGCATTGGCAGGCGGATTCTTTACCATTGAGCTGCCAAGGAAGCCCCTGCCCAAGCCTTCTGCACGACATTTGAATTTCTCAGTTTTTCAATGGGGCTTGATGCCTAGAATAGACTACAGTGCTCCAACAGGTGAGACCACACAGGCTGAGGAACACAAGTCACTCTGGGGTTCAGAGCACTTAGGATAATAACAGCACAGCCCACAATAACCTTCTTTTAGCAAGGAGAACGGAGATCACCCAGATGACTTAGACTGGAATGTGAATTGAATTCAGGGCTTTTATTTTCCCCTTTTCCTGCTGCTAAGGCATCTCTGATCCATTTTATACTCATGTTATAATATTTTGGTCCAATTGCAGAACCTAAACTTTTCTCTCCCTAGGTTATCTCTTCTTAGACCTTGCTCAACCATCCAGCAAAGATGGGGATCATGCCATCATGGCCACGAATCAAATATAAAATTTATTTTCAGTTTACTTCATTTATGTTCTCCTGAACTTGCTAAAAATCAGGTAGGAAAAGGAACAGATAATGATTTAGAAGTTCAACTTACATTTCAATGGGGTCCCTCTTCTTTAAAGATGGCAAGAAGAGCTAAAGTAAAAAGGAATCATGTTTCTTAGCTTTCATCTCTTCCCTTACCTTCACACATAAAATGGGTCCAAATTTTCAATAGTCATTTCATTTTACTTTTTACTTTCTTCCGAAAGGAAAGTATGGAAGACTCCACTGTGACACTTACAGAGTCTTAGTCAACTAGTTGAAAGTCCCCTGAATTACTTGCATCATTTTCTCTTTGTTCTTATTGAAGATGTCCTGTCCCCAAAGTGTACTGTACCTTGGGAAAGAACAGTTAAGGGAAAGTGAAATTAAAAATCTGCTTTATAACCTCAGTCAGTCCAATGAGATCTATTTTCTGATAATTTTCTATTTGTTTCTAACTGGATATAGGCTCTCCATTTTCTCTAATTCCAAGCTACACAAGGAAACCATATGGAATCCTTTGTAAATTCAAGTAGTAGAGGGGACTTCTCTGGTACCCAGTGGTATCCGGTATCCAGAGTTTGCCTTCCGATGCAGGAGGCGCAGGTTCAATCCCTGGTCGGGGAGCTAAGGTCCCTTGTGCTTTGTGGCCAAACAACCAAAATAACATAAAACAGAAGCAGTATTGTAACAAACTCAATAAAGACTTTAAAATTGATCCACATCCAAAAAAATAAAAAACCTTAAAAAATAATGAAGGAAATGTGAACACACTTTTATTATGATTGATAAGCTGATGCTGCCACCTCGTGGAAACATTTAACGCCTCCTTGAAAAGGAACGGTAACATTACTTCACTAAGAACCTTGCCTACGCTCTATTTGAACACAGCCTATATTCAATATATTCAGTACAGGGGCAATATAGCAGAAAGTGGGCTTCCAGGAATCTGCCTGCAATGCCGGAGATGTGGATTCAATCTCTGGGTCAGGAAGTTCCTCTGGAGAAGGGAGTGACTGCCCACTCCAGTGTTCTTGCCTGGAGAATCCCATGGACAGAGGAGCCTGGTGGGCTACAGTCCACGGGTCACGAAGAGTCAGACACCACTGAGCGACTAACACTCTCTATGTTCACTGAAGCTTCCCTGGTCGCTCAGTGAACGACCTGCGGGCAATGCAGGAGACACAGGTCCCATCCCTGGGTTGGAAAGATCCCCTGGAGAAGGGAACGGCAGCCCACTCTAGTACTTTTGCCTGGAGAATCCCATGGACAGAGGAGTCTGGTGGGCTACAGTCCATGGTGTCACAGGGTCAGACACGACCGAGTGATTATCACTTTCACTTCACTGTATTCACTGAGACCCTGTTAAATAGGAGATGAATAAAAAGGTGGAGGGGATCTTTCATTAAGAATGGAAATAGTGCATCTCATGGTACTGAAGGTAAAACAAATTTTAACAAACTTTGACCCTCTTGTTTACAGGTTATACTAAACATTTAAAATCAGGTATATAACAGTTTAGAAAATAAGGTCATTTTGAGGGAATCTTTATTAACATGATATTGGAGCAGGGCTAGAATGAGTCTTAGAAATTGATGTTTTATCACATTCCTTTCAAAATACCCTAAGATAGATTTGTTGTTGTTTAGTCGCTAAGTCGTGTCAGACTCTTTGCGACTCCATGGACTGTATTCCGCCAGGCTCCTCTGTCCGTGGGATTTCCCAGGTAAGAATTCTGGAGTGGGTTGTCATTTCCTTCTTCAGGGGATCTTCCCGACTCCTGGATCGAATCCATGTCTCCTGCATTGGCAGGTGGATTCTTTACTGCTGAACCACTGGGGAAGCCTAAGATAGAGCTAACAAATTTCTAGTGAATAAACTACTTCAGAGTCATATATTTTCCTAGACACTGATGATAAAGAAGTAGTATTTCTCCAGGACATTCAATAAATAAGAATTCCTCTTTTCCTGGGCTACTAAAACTTTATAAAATTTAATTAGGAACAGATATTGTCTTATGCCTATGAAGATGATAATATGGAATTTTTATTAACTTGAAGAATGTTGTACACCCATGGCTGATTCATGCGAATGTATGGCAAAAGCCATTACAACATTGTAAAGTAATTAGCCTCCAATTAAAATAAATTAATTTACAAAAATTAAAAATTAAAAAATTATATTACTGAAGTATAAAAAAGGAAAGCTATTGCATTTACTTTGCAAATCAAATTTAAAAATCAACAAAACCTACAGTCAATACTGCTATAAATATGCTTTTATATAAAAAAAGAATATTGATAATAAAAATAATAAAATATCACTTACAATCTTCTGAGCACTTTTTTATGATCTCTTACTTATTTTTATATTCATACAGTGCCTCACATAATGTTATCACCATTTCATAGATGAGCAAAATAAATCTTTTGTTTAAATTATCTGTAATACTAAATACTGCTTTTTATTTTAAATTTTGCATTATGTAGT